ACTATGATTTCGATTTTCGTATCCTACCGGCTCATTCACAAACTGTCATTGGCGGATGCATGAAATCCAGAGAGTAGAATCGAACGAGAACGGTTTTGCGGTAGAAAAATGAGAGTTCACATTCAAACACACACGACCATCTCGTGTGACCGGTTTTGTTCACAGTTTATCAAGTCGGACGGGGATGTGACGGAGCTTGTATCGTTGCTCCTTAGCATATTGCTAGCAATGTGGTAGAACAGCTGATCTGATTTTTGTTCGGTAGCCTTAGTCAGGACCAACTGTTTGGTTAAGCTCGTTCAGTTTCCGAATATTGTAAACCTCAAGACTTGAGTGCTAGTGATGACATGATAAACGGTGTTTCAGATACACACCTGGTGTCGTGCTAATCCTAGGGAAATTCTAGTTTATCACGGTCCACACTTGACAGTGAATTGACGGACGATTCTGTCAGTAATACGGTAAGCGGTGTTTTTCTGTAGTCACATTTGGTTGTTCTGAGCGGTGTTCTTAGCTTTTTTTCTTTCCTCATCAGCATCGTCCTCATCATTATCGGGTGCTCATCTGGTCTAACATGGTGAATTTTCTATTTCTGTCGTTTACGATAAATTGTCTGCACATTTCCCCCCTTTTCGTTCCTACCGTACCTGATCTATAATCATTCCCGAAATGAAAATAAATCAACCAATCATGCGCTTTGCCAAATAACTGTCTCTCGTGTTCTGCTTGAAATTTGTTGTGGTTATGTGTAAACCACCGGGGACATCCATAAGGAAGTGACCACTAACAGATCCCTGCGGCGCTTTCTGATGTGATCAGTTGCATTCCGCCTTAAGAAGTATTCAGCTTCACCACAGTTAAACTTTCTTTATTGAACCCCGTCGTAATGATAGAAAGATAAATTCCCATTGATTTGTGTGTTTCTCTTTTCACTAAGATTCCGGCTTCTTTTTCGGTTCATATCCCCTTTGGTTGTGTTTTGGATTCCCTGTAAGTTTGGTATAGAATATTTCAACAATATGGACAAATCCGCACACAAGATCTGACTGAGAGCAGCTAAACATTACTGTCCTCTTGACTGATTGAGCAACCATCATCAGCATTTTGATAGTGATGCGTTTTACGAATAGACGAAAGGCTAACTTCGTACCACGACCATCCACAAATCAGACGATATGCGTATTTCCACAGGCGTGTATGCGTGTACTGGTTATTTCGGTATAGCGACTTTTTTGGATCTGTGTCACTGTCACAGAAGTTTCTCGCTTTAAGGTTTTTCCTGTCTCTATGCTGCTAAGGTCCCATTTGTCAACCGTATCTTTTGCTACGGCTCATGCTTTTCTCCTATCTAGGTGTACCGAACTTATAGAGGAACTAGTAATTTTTGGTGCGATCCATAATAGGTTACGTTTTCTTGTAACTCGGGGTTACTAACTTGTTCCTCATTGTGCTTTTGTTTGTCTTTTGACTTACACTTATATGAGCCTTTTTCGCACCTGTCGTTCCCTCATTCGCGTTTTTTCCCCACCCCTCCCTCTCCGATTTCTGTAGATTATGAGCATTTCCCCGAATATCCCAACCACCACTCAGTTCGTGAATTTCAATCCCCTCCCAAATGCTCAAACCTATCAAGTATATCAGCCGAATATGTTCATAAGCTCTCCGGCAGTGTTCTCTACAAATGGTGCGCCTATGCAACCGGGAACCGCCACAATTTTTTCCGGCGGAAACGGTGGTGTTTTTTTCAGCGGAATGCCTGCCGGTCTGGGCCCTGCGGTGATTCAGCACCCGGTCGCCCAGGCCCCGACGCAGTACTACCA